GGGAAAAACGTAGTATGTAGCGGGTCTGGTCCCATCTGTGCAGTTAGGCGCTCACTAGAGGTCTCGGGACAGATCCCCGTGGGCAAGGGGATGAATCTACAGTGGACCCTACCTGGCCGTGTGCTAAGTGCCGTCTGTGCTGTATTTCATTTGTCCTTCACAGTACGCTCATGTGCTGGCTACAGTTGCTCCAGATAGTATTATTTTAGAACTGGAAAATCCAAGATTTATTTTATTCATTTGTTTATTTTCATTTTTTTGCTACAGGGTATGTGTGCTCACAGGAGAGGGAGAGAGACAGAGAAATCGCCCTCCAGGAGGGATGGCCACACTGCAGCCCTTCTTCCTCCATTCTCCTCTTGGGATTTGGGGCATACACGCACTCACGCCCAACGTGTCTCTCAAGCCGCCAGGGCCCAGACTCAAACTGCAGAGCCGACCATGAGGGATCCAGCCACCCTAACCGCTCTGTCACCTGGCTGGTCCCAATGACACCCATTTTACCATGAAGAAATGGAGGCCTTGGGGTGTTTATACCTTGTCCAAGATCACACAGCTCGTGTGTGGTGGGCTGGGCTCCACGCCAAGGGAGTCTCACGTCCCCATTACCCTCTTATCTCCCGGACAGCACGTTTGACAGACTTCCAGATCACGTGTGTGTGTGTTTTAAATAGTCGGGGCCATGTTTTATGTGCACGTGTGCATCCGTGTCATTTTGTTTAAATGCTACATTGTCGTTCTCCCCTGATGAAGAGGGTGGAGTTAATTATGAACTCATCTCTCTAAGCATCCTATCTAGGTATGTTTTAAGGAGTTTTTTTTCTTTCTTGGATATCAGTGCATTTTTTTTTCCCCAGGGCCATCCCAGGGGAAATCTGGGAATTTGTGGCAATCCTAAGACAATGTGTCTTACTTGCAAGAAGGCATTTGGCACGAGGACAGAGCAATCGCACCCCAAAAAAATCTCGAATCTTTTGAAGCATTTTACCTTCATGCTTCTTGGTGTGTACAGGGCGAACCAAGCTTGTGAGAGACCACTCTGCAGCTTCCTGCAGCGTCATTTTACTCAGCAATCGAAAATATTTTGGGGCCGGCAGGTGGCATGGTGGTTGAGGCGCTGGACTCCCACGTGGCCGACTGTGGTTCCAATCCTGGACCCGATGGCTTGCTTTCTCACTTGGTCTCTCTCTGTCTTTCTCTCGTGAGCACATGTGTCCTAGAGAAAACTTTAAAAAAGGAATGAACCAATGAGATAAATAATTTAAAAAGAGAAAGGACAAAAGCTCATTTTTAATTAAACATGGACATAGACCAGCCTTCTAGTGGTAGCGGTTAGCTCTGTGCCTAGGAAGCCGGAGCCTTCATGGCCGACTGTGTGGTTTGAGTCCCAGACCCAGCAGCTTGAAGGACATGCTGGGTGCTTGTGTGCCCTTCTCAAGAGAAGGGATTGGAGTGGCTACGTCCCTGTCCCCACCCCCGGGTGCATGTGCCCTATGGCAAAGAAGAAAGAGAAAAAGGGCAGAGTGCAGAGCAGTGTCCGAGAGCCACGTAATTTGAAAGGAATTGAAGACAGCAATGTTTCAGCGACGTCTTGAGCTGGCGGTGCTAGGCTTCTCCGGGATAGGGGTTACTCGGCGGGGAGCTTGAGAGGCAGCTGCTCTTCGGGGCGTGGCCCTGGTGCTGACGTTCTCTCGTCGGAGCAGCAAGTCCAGGATTGTGGAGGACGCGCAAGGGCACCGTGTGAGGAGTCTAGGAAGGTGGATTTGGGTTCTGGTTCTGTGCATGCCCATTGTAGAAATAGCCTGTGTGTGGGGCCAGCAGGTGGCATGGCGGTTACTGGAGATGGACTCCCACATGGCCGACCGCGGTTCGAGTCCCAGACCTGGCAGCTTGCTTTCTCACTTTCCCTTTCTCTCTCTCGCTCTCTCTCTGATCAAAATTAAAATAAATAAATACATAAACTTAAATAAAAATAATTCTTAAAAAAAAAAAAAGAAAGAAAGAGCCTGCTTGTAAAGGGGGGCCTTTTTCACCAGTAAGATCTCAGGATTCTGTGAACTGGGATGTGCCGACCCTGAAGTAGAAGTGGAAGAGGGGAGGGCTCGGCGCCAGGAGAGGGAGGGCTTAGGAGACGCCCCGCACAGGGTCCCCGTGGGCAGCAGGTGTATGGGAAGCGCAGTCGTTCAGAAGTTACTTCGTGCCATCAGTCGTAAGCGCTCTTTGGTAGCAGGTGTACGGAGCGTGCCGGGGCTCTCCGGCGTGCTCCGTGACCCTGCGTGTGTGTTTCAGTGCAGACGGGCGTTTCGAAGGCACCAGCACGAAAACGGTGGTCAGGTACAACGGCACTGTCACCTGGACGCCGCCGGCAAACTACAAGAGCTCCTGCACCATCGACGTCACGTTTTTCCCGTTCGACCTTCAGAACTGTTCCATGAAATTCGGCTCTTGGACTTACGACGGATCCCAGGTGGACCTCGTTCTCGAGGACCAGGACGTAGACAAGAGAGACTTCTTTGACAATGGGGAGTGGGAGATCGTGAGCGCGACCGGCAGCAGAGGCAACAGGACGGACAGTTGCTGCTGGTACCCGTACGTCACCTACGCGTTTGTCATCAAGCGCCTGCCGCTCTTCTACACCCTGTTCCTCATCATCCCCTGCATCGGGCTGTCGTTCCTGACCGTACTGGTCTTCTACCTGCCCTCCCACGAAGGCGAGAAGATCTGCCTCTGCACCTCGGTCCTCGTCTCGCTGACCGTCTTCCTGCTGGTGATCGAGGAGATCATACCCTCGTCGTCCAAAGTCATACCTCTGATCGGGGAGTACCTGGTGTTCACCATGATTTTCGTCACGCTGTCCATCATGGTCACCGTCTTTGCCATCAACATTCACCACCGCTCCGCCTCCACGCACAGCGCCATGGCCCCGTGGGTGCGCAGGGTGTTTCTCCACCAGCTCCCCAAGCTGCTGTGCATGAGGGGTCACGTCGATCGGTACTTCGCGGAGACCGAGGGGAGCGCGGGTGCCGGCGGACCGCCGTCTTCTAGAAGCGCGCTGGAAGCTGCGCTCGACTCCATCCGCTACATTGCTAGACACGTCATGAAGGAGAATGACGTCCGTGAGGTCGGTGACCGGTCCCGAGGGACACCTGCTTCGGTTCTAAGTTCCGAAGGGACCGCTATCACTCGGGCGGGGTGAACAGTGTGGCCCTTAAGGCGCAGTGTAGGTTGAGGGCCAGAAACCTGGACCTGCTTTTCTAGAAAAGATCTTTACTAAACCTGGTTTCAGCCAGGGCTGGCGCGGTGGCCTCGTGGTTCAAGAGCTGCAGCCTTGGGGCCAGCGGACGGTGAGGTGGTTAAGGAGCTGGACTCAGTGGCCCGCCATGGCTTAAGTCGCGGACTCAGCGGCTTGTAAATCACGTCGGGTGTGTGTGCTTGTGTGCTCAAAATCCTGAGAGGACAACGGAGCAGGGATGGCGGCGTGAGCGTACCCATGGTGGGGTGCCTTCCCCTCTCTCCCTCTCCCTCTGTTTCTACGTCCTGTGTCTGTGCTCTCTGGCAAACGTTAAAACCATTTTGTTTCAGTTCAAGTGCCCGTGAGATGGGGCGCTGGGCCAGCCCATGGCCTGGTGAGAGAGCTGGATCCCTCATGGCCTTCCGAGTGGTTCGGGATCTAGACCTGGTCGTTCGAGAAGCAGGCCAGACACAAGTGCATTCTCACACATCCCCAAGGGAGAGAGAAACAGAAGAAGGATTGTGGCATGATGGTGCCCCATGGGGAATGCTTCCTCCCTCTCCTCTGTGTCTCTGTCTCTCTCTGCTGAGTGCACATCCCCTCCTTTTAAAAATATTACACAACTCCTACCTCTCCATTTCTCCCCTTAGCATCTTAGATGACTTTATAGAAAACTTAGTGTTAGGTCCAGCAAATGGTGTAATGGTTACATCACAGGACTCCCATGGGGTCGACCATGGTTCGAATCCTGGACCCAGCAGCTTAAAACTCATGCTGGGCACATGTGCGTGCGTACCCAAAAATCCTAAGAGGAGAATGGAGGAGGAGGGAATGTGGTGTGGCCATCCCCACTTGGGGGTGAGTTCTCGCTTTCTGTCTCTCTGGCAAGTGCATGTACCCTATAGCAAAAATCTTTCATTAAAAAAAAAGAAAAGAAAAAAAGGGAAGAAGACAATTTAGTGAATTTCAGCCCAAGGAATGGAAGTTCTGACATGTGTTTTTTGTCTCTGACATGATAAACTATTTTAATTTTTTCTTTAGTAACTTTGTTTCTGGATTCTGTGGTAATCTGTAGGCACAACTGCAGTATAATTTATCAAAAGTTATTTTATATTTTAAAGAATGAGCCTAATGCGGCCAGCAGGTGGTGTGGTGGTTAAGGCGCTGGATCCCACATAGCTGACTGTGGTTCGAGTCCTGTACCCAGTGGCTTTAAAAGGGAGGCCCGGGTGTGTGTGTGTGTGTGTGTGCGTGTGTGCATGTGTGTGTGTGTGCCCAAAATCCCAAGAGGAGAATGGAGGAGAAGGCATTGCAGTGTGGCCATACCCTCAATAGAGGGAAGATCTCCCTCTCTCTCTCTGTCTGGGAGTGGGTTTTAGCAGGAAGACCCTGTTGGGGGCCTATCTCTGTTGCTCTCATAAAACAAATAAATAAACTTTAGGGGAAAAAAATAAGTAAACATTACTGGGCAAGAAAAAGCAACAGGAATCACTTTATGGCAAGATAAAATCTGTTTTAGTTTATTATAAGATATCCAAGTAATCTATGTTAGTGTTTATTAAAACTCTATAAAAATAACCCACTTGTAATACAAGTTGCATGTAAGCAAGCACATTTTGTAGTGTTTTAGAACTCAAGGAAACTCTGTCTGGGACAGTCAGGGTCCTCTCTGTTCCTGAACGGAGTACAGGTCACTCACAGTTCGGAGGCAGCAGTTCGAGGCAGAAGCTGCTCTGGTTTCTAACTTGGTGTGTCACATGATTGTTTTGTCAAATAATTATTTATTAAAGTTTTATTGATTTATTTTTTAAAATTTGCTATAGGGCATGTGCGCTCACCAGAGCGAGAGAAAGTGAGAAAGCGAGAAAGCAAGCCACCAGGTCTGGGACTCGAACTGTGGTCAGCCTCGTGGGAGTCGAGGCCTTCACCGCCACGCCACTGCTGGCTCTCGTCCATGATTTTTTAACGATGTATGTAATGCGTTTTTATCTTTCCCAAACAGGTTGTTGAAGATTGGAAATTCATAGCTCAGGTCCTCGACCGGATGTTTCTGTGGACTTTCCTCCTGGTTTCAATCGTCGGATCTCTGGGGCTTTTCGTTCCTGTCATTTACAAGTGGGCGAACATAGTAATTCCAGTTCACGTCGGAAATGCAAATCAGTGACACTTCCGAGGGGCCGAGTGTGAATTCAGTTCCTCGGCAGACTTGCGTCTCCTGGCGCCTACAAAATTACGAGGATGTGCTTTGTATTCGATGCGCGCTCACACCTAAGTCGCTGATGTTGACTTACATTCTAGCGCGCTCCTTAGGACATCTGCCTGCGTGACTGATGGAATAGCAGTTCATCTCCTAAAAATAGCGGAATATTGTCTGAACTCCACCAGTGAAAATGTCGTGTCTGTAGCTTGGCAAGTAGTACTCATTTGTAAACAGCGAGGGTCATCTTTTAATTGTGCTGGGAAATTGCAGTTGTATTTGAAGACCGATTTTAAAAGTCTTTCTATGTTTGGTAACGGTATAGATTTTAAAATTTCCCTACCTTTACCAAATAACAGCTTCTATTTAGTATAATATACCGCTATATTAAATAAGCCAGCTACTCGATATGAATGATAATGACTTAAAGTGATAGAACTTTTCCATAACCAGGACTTTTTTTTTTTTTTTCTTAAAGACAGGGGACATGGAAGGGGTAGGTGGCAAGTACCAGCCACTCCGCAATCCTTTTTCGCCCGTTCTCCGTGCTGCCAGGATCCTGGGTGTGCATGTAGCCGGCATGTTTTCGAGTTGCTGGGACTCCAACCCCAGCTGGCCATGTGAGACCTGGCCTTGTCTGGGCAGTACCGATACCTAGCACTTTTTAGGAAATAAGAAATGAGAATTGGTAACTCTTTCAAGACTAGCTTTACTCCTTAGCCGCTTGAACTGAGTGATTATTGTATGAACTATTTTGATAGCTTACTTTCCATTCCCGTTGTAAAATCATAGACATTCTGTGGACATGCACTAACATATCTTTTTTTTTTTTTTTTAAATTATTTTAGGGACCTGCAGATGGTGTAATGGTTATGTCGCTGGACTCCCACATAGTTGATAGGGGTTCAAGTTCCAGATCCGGCAGCTTAAAACTCTTGCCAGGCACATGTGTGTGTGGCCAAAATCCCAAAAGGAGACAGGAGGAGAAGGAACTGTGGTATGGCCATCCCCCCGGGAGGATGATTTCTCACTTTCTGTCTCTGGTGAGCACATGTGCCCTATAGCAAAAATGTGTCAAAAACAGAAAAAAGAATTATTTTATTCATCATTGTTTTTTTTTTTTTTTTAATTTGACCAGAGAGAGGCAGAGAGAGAGAGAGGAAAAGTGAGAAAGCAAGCTGCCATGTCCAGGACTTGAACCGTAGTCAGACACATGGAAGTCCAGCACCTTAACCACCATGCCACCTGCTGCCCCATACTAGCTTATCTTTAACATTAATTTCAGTCATCTTGTCCACATTTCCCACAGTTAACAGAACCATCTTTCTTTTTTTTTAAAAAAATTACTTTTATTTATTATTATTATTTAATTGGCTAGAGGGCACATGTGCTCACCAGAGAGAGAGACAGAGAGGGAAAGTGAGAAAGCAAGCCGTCAGTCTGGGACTTGAACCATGGTAGTCTATGTGGAAGTTTAGCACCTTAACTGCCATGCCACCTGCTGGCCCCCAGAACCATCTTCTATGTAAATTGTGGTACCATCTCTTCATCCTTGATCTTGGAACAATGCATCGCAATTATGAGTCCCATTTTTTTTTTTTTGAGAGGTTTTTGCTATAGGGCGTGTGCGCTCGACAGACAGAGAGAGACAGAGAGACAGAAAGCGAGAAATCACCCCCGGGAGGATGGCCACGCCGCAATCCCTTCTCCTCCATTCTCCTCTCAGGATCTTGGGCATGCATGCACACGCGCCCCGCGTGAGTTTTAAGCCACCAGGTCCGTGACACGAACTGCGGTCGACTACGTGGGAGTCCAGCGACATAGCCATTACGCTAACTGCTGGTCCCATGAGTCCCATTTTAAATTGTATTTATTTCTCTTACTTTAAAAAAAAATTTAAAGAATTATTTTATTGTTTTTATTGAACTTTTATTTATTTGCTTATTTATTTATTTATTTATATTTAACCAGAGAGGGACAGAGATAGAGTGAGAAAGAGAAAGAAAAAGAAGGGGGAGGAGTGAGAAAGCAAGCCGCCAGGTCTGGGACTTGAACCACAGTCAGCCATTGAGAGTCCAGAGCCTCTAACCACCACGCCACCTGCTGGCCCTGAGTCCCATTTTAAAAAAATTTAAAAAGCTATTTATTTATTTAATTCCATTAAAAGTATTATTGTTATTTTAAAATTTGACCTGAGAGAGAGAAAAATTAAAAGTGAGAAAGCAAGCCACTGGGGTCCAGGACTCAAACCAGGTCAACTATGTGGGAGCCCAGCACCTTAACCACCATGCCACCCGCTGGCCTCATGTGAGTCCCATTTTAAACATGGAGCTATGGCTAAATCATTCTGTGAGAAAACCGTCTTCTAAAAGTAGCGATGGCACCGTAATTTAGTGTCAGCGTCCCGTTCTGTACCTGCAATGCTTCCGTTTTCTCTCATTCCAGCCATTATTACAAGAACAGAATCTTAGACTTGCAAGGGTCTTTAGACATCATGTAATATAGTCTATATTCAGTGCAGTAGAACGTGTCGCAGGTAAAACTGTTACATTTCATCTCTAGAAATGTCCCTGATTCAGCTATGACCAGGCAGAAACGCCAATAGAAAGCTCGCGTGTGATCTAGGACTCTTGGCTGTTGAGCTAACAAACGCCTTATTTATTTATAGGCAGTAACCCATCTAAGTTCAGGTCACCACTCTTTGGAAGGCAGAGGGGACCTTGTCTAATTCGCATTTTATTGTAGGCAGGTGTTTAATGCCGTTTCATGAGTCAAAGTCCGGTTTGACGAATTTGAGTCACCTGTTAGTTTATCTTGGCTTACCTCTATCCCCAATCCCTCTTAGATGCCCAGTACTGTTCCCTTTTTATATAGAAATAAATTTTATAGAACTCTTCCTTTGGGCTTATTGAAACATGAGTCACCGTGCGCTGAGATTCTGGCAGTTTTATTTTTGCAGAGGAAGAACATCACGGCACCCCGCGAGAAGGTTCGAATCGGCTCTGAGTCAGCATCTCTGCCGGTGGTCGGGCCGTCTCAGAAGGCCGGTGTGTGATACTCTTCCCTAACCGTCTGTCTAAAGCAGTGCTTCGCAACTGTGGGCAGTTCTGCCTCTGAGGGGACATTTTCCGTTGTCAAAACCAGTGAGAAGGGGGAGGGGGTATTCTATTGGCCTCTGCTGGGTAGGTGCTGAAAACCCCATGGTGCATAGGACACCCCGCCCCGGCCCAGCACCTGCTAATCCAGCCCCACGTGGTGTAATACCAAGGCTGAGAAACACCATCCTGACGGTGCATACTACGGTCTAAGTACCTGTGTCCCTCTCCCCCAGTTCATGTATCTGAACCTCATCTCCAGCATAATCGTATTAGAAGGAGGGCCTTTGAGAGGTAACAAGGAGCCCCGTAAGAGTGACACCTGAAGCCAGCAGCCCTTCGGCCACGCGACCACCCAGGAAGGGCACACCCTGTGAGGAAGAGGCTCTCCAGACACCAGACCTGCTGGCACCTTGATCCTGGGCCTCTCAAACTGTAAGATGGCGATTTCTGTTGTTTCTAAGCCACTTAGTTCCTGGTCTTTTGTTACAGCAGCCTACGTAGACTAAGACGTTCACCAACGGTGAGTGAGCGCCTTGGCGTCATTTCTTACGGCACGATCGTTTATAATTAGCAAGGTAAAGAGTTGAGGCTCTCCGGCATGGAGGCATAGCCCTTAGACTCTGGAAGAACACCACGGGACAAGAAATGCATGTAACAAGTGTAGCGGGGGTGTTGCTGGAACAGTGTCAGCTTCAGGCGATTACGGGCTACATTAGGGAAGCCGTCGGGCCGCGGTGAGAGTGAACACGTTTTCTGTCCAGGCGCGCCTCCGCAACCGAACAGGGAGAACAGTTTTACGTGTTCCATAGCGCAGCCTGTTACTCCCAACAGTAGAAGAATTAAAAGTTGATGTTTCTTTACCCAGAAGGCTAGTTAAATGCTCATTTACCTAGAATAAATGCCCTTGATGTTTTTCTTGCATGATTCTTCTGACAAAACTCAAGACAACTAGAAAACAAGTAAACCTTGACATGCCAACACGAAGCTGGTACCTGACAAGAAGTAGGTTACTATTAAGGAACAGCACCCCCCGCACACACGTCAGCCCCGGAGGCCCACATACGGTGGGGTCCCTAGGCATCATCCCTCGCCATCAGGGGTTGCAGGAACAACCCCGCTGTCCCTAAGATGCACACCAGGATGAAAACCCACAGGAAAATACGATCGATTACCATGGCGATGTACTTCCAGTCATCTTGAATCTGAAAAACAAAAATGAAAGTGGAATAAGAAAGACAGAAAGGGGGAAAACAAAGCAAATGTTTTCTACGACTTCCAAAAGTTCGTAGAAAAATGGAATCGACACGCGTTTAGGCAGGTCACGCCAGGGTCCTGCGGGGCTGGAAGCCATATGGTGATTGAGGTTCATCCAGAAAACCACAGAACACCCGAGACTCTGAGGTGCTAGAGGGCTGGGGAGAGCGGATTGCAGTGTGTTGCGGCCCTGTCCATCATGTGCACGTGCGGTCATGAGAGTATCAGCTTATTTATTTATTTTTTAAGAATTATTTTACTTAACTTTCTTCCTTCCTTCCTTTCTCTCTCTCTCTCTCTCTCTCTCTCTCTCTCTCTCTCTCTTTCTTTCTTTCTTAATTTGATCAGAGAGGGACAGAGTGAGAGCAAGCTGCAAGAGAGAAAGAGAAATGAGAAAGCAAGCCACCAGGTCTGGGACTTGAACTGCGGTCAGCCATGTGGGAGTCCAGCATCCTTAACCACCAGGCCACCTGCCGGCCCCTAGTATCAATTTATTTTAATGCCAAAGAAAAAAGGAAAAACTGACATCCATGCAGTGTTTTTCCTAATATGCATTTCCATAACCTTTTAGAAGATCCCCCTCATACATTTTCAATATCAAATACGTAATAAACAAGTAACCATTTTCTGCCCAATATGGGAGAAACCTATTTTCTTTTTTTTTTCTGATTTATGGAGGCTGAGGAAGTCTACCATTTTCAAGTTCTTCTTTATGCCGGAGAGAAATGGGTATAAAATATTGGCCATATTAGCTATTTCAACTCAGAAATTTCTTACTGTCTCCATAGCCTGGTGTTTTCTACATCGAATTCCAATTTTATAATGTTAGTGAGGCCAGTTATTTGACTCATGCCTTCCTAGGAGGGTTCTGGGCCTTAGACCGGCCAGTACAGGTCCCATGTCACTCCCCATTGTTTCAAATACAGTTTGAGAAGCTAACTTCATCTTCACATCTGTTCCCGAAACAAAGCGCGTGGGGCAAGCGCAGCATGGTCCTCTCTCTCCCCCACTGTCCCCTCCGTGATGTCCAGTTGGCCACATGCCATGTTGCATGGCAAGGCAGTGTGGACTACCGCACGGCTGCAGGACAGGCTGACCGTCAGGGGTCACTGCTGACCGTAAGGGGGCAGATGGAGGAAGGAGCGAAGCTAATTGTGGACAATTGGGCTTCAATTTGGGCTCGGACGAGGAAGGAGCATTGTAAGGTCATTATCCTCCTAGACGATTCAGAAGGCAGAGAAACCGTAATTGAATCGAGGAAGAGAGAGGCCATGAATCAACTGATCTTGAAGCAATAATCACATAATGAAGAGGCAGCATGTAATTTAGTAATTTAATTAAGTACACTGAAATGGGGCTGGGAGACAGAGAGATTTTATTTCACCGTTATGGTGACTCTAAGAAGTCAGAGGTAAAATGAGCATGATAATGCCCTGTTTGTTTGCCATGAGGTGCTTGATTTGAATAGCTAAGACTGGTTTCCAAGGGCTTCCAATACACCATAGCCGGTGTGATCCCTGCCTGTCCCCACCAGCTACACCTAAGGCTCCGGGACACGGGTGGGGATGAGAGGTGGGAGACACATTGCGACTGTAGTTCCAGCTCCGTTTCCCGGGTGTGTGAGGATCTGGATCCCGTTCCCTCATCCATAAGATGAGGATGAATAAGCGCTTACTACAGGGTTGTTTAAGCACAGGGTCCTAATGAATTATAGTATCTGCTGATACTTATGTCAGTTTTGCATGACCCTTATCTAAGTATAAATCGGTTTCTGATAGCAGTTACCATGGGTGGGTATGGTTTTGTTAGAAGTTTATTAACTGGGGCTAGCAGGCGGCGTGGTGGTTAAGGTTTTGGATCCCCACATGGCCAACCATGGTTCAAATCCTGGACCCTGTGGCTGGTAAATCACACTGGGCACATGTGTGTGCGTGCCCGAAATCCGTGGAGGAAAATGAGGGGGAAAGGATCATGGCCTGTCCATCCTCCCTGGGGGGTGATTTCTCACTTTCCCTCTCTCTGTCTCCCTCTGGTGAGCACATGCACGCTATGGCAAAAACCTTAAAAGTTTTTTCTACTTAGAGACAGGTACTTTCAACAGGGTCTCGGGGCAGTCCTTCCCTCGGCCTTCCCAGCCAACCAAGGTTGCGGGTGTGCACCTGGTGTGGCATAGGTGCTGAGGAAGCCCAGAGGGGAACGTGAGCGGGTGGGGTTTGAGATACAGAGACTGAGACACGCAGGAGGCTGGTCGAGACAGTAAAGGGGACTTGAGTAGGGGTCTAAATCAGTTAGAAAGTGCTCCCAGAAAAATACAAATAGCACGTGCAATTTTCATGTATTCTATTTATAAAGAATTCAATCTTGCCAACATATAGCAAGAAAAAAAAAAAAGAAAGAAAGAAAAGGAAGTGGAGAGGCCAGATGGCACAGCGATGAAACGCAGTGACCCCTGAGGCTGGCCCGTGCGGGCAGGATCCAAGCTCATGTCCAGAGACGTCCCTGAGTACTCTGAGCACGCACCTGCCGTGACCTGGCGCTAGCTGAGGCTGCTGTGGATGGCGTCATCAAGACCCTGTTGGGAGGGGGTCTCTATTTTTCTCTGTCTCTCACTCTCGTGAAATAAGACGGCAGAAATGTAACCAGATAAGACAGTGATGACAACACATGTAAAATAATAACTCATCACACGAAGGTCAGGCTCTGATTGGAGGGGATGAAACTGCACACACGTCAATCAAGCAGAGCAAGCACATTCCAGATGGTTAGTGCCACCCACCGAGCCGCGCTCTGTGCCCTCCTGCAGGGCCTAGGAAGCAGCGTGTCCAGTGAGCCAGCCACAGAGGGGTCGGCGTCAGAGCGACCATCCATAGAGTGCTCCCGCGGGACCCTGCGGTCCCCAATTCATTTCTAATCTGGTAACCCAGCCCTAGCCCCAGCTCTGAGCTCGAGTGTTATTAAACTCCTCACTAACAAGACCACAGGTGGGGGTTAGCAGGTGGCATGGTGGTTAAGGTGCCAGACTCCCCCACGGCCAACCATGGTTCAACTCTCAGACCTGGTGGCTTGCTTTCTCTCTGTCTCTCTCTCGTCTCTCTCTCTGGTGAGCACATGTGTCCTATAGGAAAATTTAAAAAGTAATAAATAAATAAAGACCAAGGGCAAGCATGGGATGACCAACGTGAACAACTTAAAAAGAGAACAGCCAGGGCAGGTGGACACTAGGACACCCCTGTCCCCAAAGGCCTGGTGAGCGTACCCAGGGATGGTCATTCACAGGCTCCCACACCCACAGCAGTTGGTACTGTGAAAATAACCTGAATTTTAGGCTATTTTCAGTTAAAACAGGAAATTAAAATTTCTGGAAAAAAAAAGGGGGGGGGTGTAAACAGAGTACCCGTCACTCAGTAAGAGGTAAAGGCTCCTCAGAATGGTCTGTTTTCTCTAAGTACTGAGAGGGCATCTTTATTTTCACACATGCTATCTTCTCAGGTGGTAATCTAGTGGCCAGATTTCCACTTTGTGGAAAAAAAAAAAAAGTGGGGGCATTGAGCACTGGCCCGAGGTGGGCACTGGCTGCCCTTTGAGATGACCTTGCGTCACAAGTTTGCCACAAGCCCTACTACTCCCTATTGCTGACCTCAGGTCCTTTCACTAATCTACCTGCCTTGTATTTAGGCTTGAGAGGTTCCTTAGTTTTTGTTTGTTTCTTTGTGATTTGTTTTTATTTGTTTTTAAAGACAGGGTCTTGCTGTGTTGTGCAGAGTGGCTTTGCAATTCTGTCTCAGCCTCCTGAGTAGCTGGGACCATAGGCATGGGCATTCATGCTGGGTTTGTGACTTCCCTTTTAATTTTTTTCCCCCACACAAACAAAGAAAAGATTCTTGGAACCTTCTGAAACTCTTAACACCTTGAATGGTGCTATAGTTTGCACACGTTCCTCAACAATCCATGTGTTGGAAACTTGATCCCTCTGCCCTCGTGAACACATGAATCAATTCTTGGATTAGCCTGTCATCTTGGGAGTGGGCCGGTTAACCCCAGGGTGGGCTCGTAACGCGAGCTGCCTTCTTGTGCACTTTTCCGCCCTCCACTTTGCCTTCACAGGATGAGCCACACCCTGGGACTGCCCAGTCTCAAGAACTGGAGTTGAAGAAATGACACTTTATAAATACCCAGTCTGTGCCATTCAGTTACAGTAACTGTGGAGAGTGCTTTAAGACATAAGGTGTCTAGTAAACCAATTCTGGAATAGAGGAAATTTCTTTTTCTTTTTTTTTTTTTGGAGAGGTTTTTTTTTTTTTTTGCTTTAGGGGGCATGCACTCGCCAGACAGATGCTATAGGGTGCATGCACTCGCCAGACAGAGAGAGAGGGACAGAGAGTGAGAAATCACCCCCCACAAGGGGGGGATGGCCACGCCATAATCCCTTCTCCTCCATTCTCTTCTCGGGATCTTGGGCAGTCACACACACACACCTGGCACAAGCCACCGGGTCTGGGACTCGAACCACAGTCAGCTACATGGGAGTCCAGCGACATAGCCATTATGCCAACTGCTGGTCCCAGAATAGAGGTAATTTCTAATAGCCTGGCAAAGGCAAGAATGTGAGTACTTAGATCTCAGTCTTTAATAATTAAAACTAATAATGATTCCTTTAACTGTGATAAAGGGAGGGTGAAGCACGTCTGCAGAAGTTCAGCTGAGACAACAAGGGTGTTTCACCGATCGTGTACTTCATGTCTGATGCAATAGTACCTGACTTTTTAGCCAAATGACGGCTCAGCTGGAGGTCTGGACCGTGAATGTCACAAGAGGTGCTCACAGTTGCACAGAGGGGTGGGGAGAGGAGGTGAGGGCAGGGGTGGCTCGCTCCCTCCTGTCACACCTACTTTGGTATGCCATCCACCGCTGAGTAAGAGGCCCCAGACGCTTCCCCCACGACATTAATTACCTACAGCGCATCCGGAGCTGAGAGGATCTGCTCTTCGCTAATAAACAGCTATGGTAGAGCCCGTTAATTTTACAGTCGATTTTCTTATGAAATGATTGGGCATGATCCCGGTAGCCTCAGAGGTCTACAGAGGGTCACGGAGTGGCCTGGCACCTGACATCATTGGGTATAAGCCTTGCCCATTCTTACTAACAGGCCTCAGTTCTAGCATCAGACTTCCGGGGAAAAAACGAAGTTATCCAGTGGCCAGTAGACATATTAAAAAAGAGCTCTGGGCCAGCCTGGTGGTGAAGGGGGATGGATTCCCCATGGCCAAGCACAGTTTTGAGTCATGGACCCGGCGGCTTGAAAAGCACCGTGAGCACATGTGTGTGTGCCCACAATACTGACAGGAAGGGCGGTTGGAGGAAAAGGGAGTGTGGCATGACCACACCACGTGGAAGTTCTTATGTTCTCTCTCTCTCTGGTGAGTGCACGTGCCCTTTGGTAAATTAAAAAAGAAAAAAGCGGTAAGGAGACCTCAAAGACATCGTGTTGACGAAGTCAGACGGGAGTGTATACTGTGCAACTCCATCTTTATGACGTTGAAGAGCAAGTCGAACTGGTCACTGTGCAGGAGGGCAGGGCAGTGGGTACCAACCACGGAGGCGTGCTGACGAGGAGAGGGCATTGGGGCGCTTCCTGAGGCGCTGGGGGAGTTCTGTAGCCTCCCCCAGATCATGGTTACATGGATGTATAGGTAGTGGCATTATTTTCCTGTTTAATTTTGCTGGAGGGTGTGTGCGCTCACTGGAGAAAGACAGAGAGGGAGAAAGCAGCCCCGTGGGCCACAATCCATTTCCCTCCATTTCTCCATCCTTTCAGGATTTGGGGCACAAATGCACACATGCCCAGTGTGTCGTCTGGCCTCCAGAACTGGGATTTGAGCTGTGTAGTCAGCCATGTGGGATCCAGCTCCCTTAAAACACCAGGCCCCAGTGCTGGCCCCATAACATAAAATTCATTGATCGTACACGCCACGTAAATTATATCTCCGTGGGGAAAACACACTTAATAGAAAGTGAAAATGAAAACGTAACCTCGGCTGATCCACACTAAGTGGGGTCATCTGGCCTCATGGCCTTCTCTACTCTAGGGCAATCCCTCTTGGCATCGAGTGTGTGAATGGCCCAGCCTGCCGGGTAGCCTGGTGGCAACTTCAGGGCACCATACACTCCCAAGTTTTCGCATCCCTTTTACAGGTGGAAGACGTGCTGGCCGAGGTGAAGGAACGCCCACTGCCAAGGCTCGAACACAGGCCTCTGACTGCTGAGTCGAACTTCTAAACCTGCAGCCTAGACCCCGCGCCTCCAGGAGCCCCTAAATGTTCGCCGAGAGAACGAACCACCGAGGTCGTCGCACCCGTACCCTTACCTCCTTGGCTTCATTTTGAGCTCTCATGTTTTCAGCAATGTACTTGACGCTCTGGATGGCTTCCTTCATCTCCGGCGACAGAGCGGAGAGGGACAGCACAGCGTCCACAGACTCGGAGCTGGAGCTCCTCGCGAGGTTGGCACTGAAGTTGGAGACCTTCACCCTGCGGTGGTGGCAGTAGCCGCACACCCCGTCCCGGCACGGGTAGCCTTCCTGGCAGCCTTTGGACTCGGTGCGGCCGAAGCAGTTGAGATTGGCGAGCTCGGCGCCGGACAAGGGCCTGGGCGTCTGGCCGCTGCCCTCGCTGCCTGCCGGCCTGGTCATGAACATGACCCTGGGCAGCAAGTTCAGGAACACGGCCTTCACCCAGGCAGGCATGGTGTGCGTGGTGGGCGTGCGGTAGTGCACATTCAGCACGAAGACGGTGATGACGATGGACAGGGTCACGAAGATCATGGTGAACAGCAGGTACTCGCCGATGAGCGGGATGACCAGCGAGGTGGACGGGATGGTCTCGGTGATCACCAGCAGGAAGACCGTGAGCGAGAGCAGCACGGAGATGCAGAGGGTGACCTTCTCGCCGCAGTCGGAGGGCAGGTAGAAGACCAGCACGGTGAGGAAGGAGATGAGCAGGCAGGGGATGATGAGGTTGATGGTGTAGAAGAGCGGCAGGCGCCGGATGTACAGCGAGTACGTGATGTCCGTGTAGATCTCCTCGCAGCAGTTGTACTTGATGTCGTGCTTGTAGCCCGGCGCCTTGATGATGGCCCACTCGCCGCTCTCCCAGTAGTCCTTGAGGTTCATGGAGGAGCCGATGAGCACCAGGTCGATCTTGGCCTTGTCGTAGGACCAGGAGCCGAACTTCATGGTGCAGTTTTGGTAGTCGAAGGGGAAGTAGGTCACGTCGATTTTGCAGGAGCTCTTAAAGATGGCCGGCGGGATCCACGTCACTTCCCCCGTGTACTTGAGTAAGGCTTTGGTCTTGTCGTCCACCTGGAAGTCCCCAACAGCACTGCGGAGACAGGGGGCGTGACAACGCATGTCACCCAGTCGGCTTCTCAGGCCACCAGCAGGTAAAGGGCACCGACACGTGTAAAAGTGGGTCGTGAGGGCAGAGATTGCTGTAAGAGGTCGTCCGGTTCGCTGCCCCATTTCCCAGGGGGCACCGAGGCTCACCTGGCCCCCACACCCTCCGGGGCATGTCACTGCTTCATTCCCCAACACACAGCTCAGGCCTGCGATTTACAGACACCCAAACACCAGAACAAGACTTTCCCCGCCTGGACCTAAAGAAACGGGATGACAATCGTCATCCTGCAGCCAGGTGTCCAGGCAGCCTTCGGGGACATGTGCCACCCCTGTTCTGTGGTGCAGGCCTTGTCAGCGTCTCCCTTCTTGGTCTCCACTAGGCATCCGGTGTGTATGTGAAACCAGAGTGCGGAGCTGGGAGGGGCCACGGCGTCCCCCCACCATCTCTCCTTCCCTTCAGCTCTGCACATGGTGGCTCTTAATTTTTTAATTTTATTTGCTATAGGGTATGTGCACTAACCAAGAGAAACACACAGCTAGAGAGAGAGAGAGAGCGCGCGTGTGAGAGAGCACCGCCGCGGTGGGTGGCCATGGCACAGTCCCTTCTCCGTTTCTCTTGGGGTCTTGGGCATGCATGTACACACACCTGGCGTGTTTCCAGGACTTGAAACACGCAGCCACATGTGGGATCCAGCCACCTTAGCCTTGCCCCGCTGGCCCCACACCTGACTGCTTTTAAACAGAAACACATTTTCCTTAGAATAGTCTGGCCGTGCAGCAGCAGGTCGGGGCTGACTCAGCACCGTGTTATGCGTTTGGCGTTCCATCTGCAGTGGTCAGATGGGTCACCTGAGAGCCGGGCCGGCCCTCGGAGCAGCGGCCCTGCCCAGCCAAGGCTCTTGACAGGCCCTCAGGCCAGCCCTGCTGGCTTTCTCGGCAGTCTCATTGTGAAGGCATTCATGAAGAGCTCAAAGTACCCAACCCAAGCGTCGAGGAGCGCTGGCACGGGTGCTGTTGGACAGGAGCCCGTCCAGGGAGACCAAGGCTATGTCCTGGCACCGTCCTCTGCAGCCTCTCGCCCGCCCTTCCACATGTGCCTCAGACAAATAGGACAATCTTTTTTAAGAGAGAGATTGCAGCTATAAGGTGCACAGGCTCACCAGAGAGACAGAAAGCAAGAAATCACCCCCAGGGGGAATGGCCACGCCACCATCCCTTCTCCATTCTCCTCTCAGGATTTTGGGCACACACGCACACATACCCAACCTGAGTTTTAAGTCGCCAGGTCCAGGACTCGAACCACAGTCGACTACATGGGAGTCCAGCAGCGTAACCATCACGCCATCTGCTGGTCCCCCAGGACAATCACTTTTAATGAAGGATTACTGTCCAAGACACTGCCTGCCTTACTCCGGTGGGTTGCTTTGCCGCCAGGGGGACCTGCTGGGTTTGCGCGTTTCAGCCCCACTTCACTCCTGCTGTGTCCTCAGTTTCCCTCAAGGGGTCATTCTAGCTCCTGGCTCCAGGAAGAAGGGAGGGGTGGGAGAGGGACCTGCCAGCTGTCATATGGCACAGCACCGGCTACATGGCGGGCGTGTGGTGGTAGATATTTGTTGACCAAATGAATGATCAGAAATAAATGAAGATCTCACCTCTACAGGGTGCTGAGAGCTGGCAGGCAGCAAGCGACAGCAGAGGCAGGAGGGTTCTGAGCCAGCGAACTGCTGGGCTTCGTGAACGAACTAACACGGAGAAGGTGAGTGCGAATGGCCGGCTGGGGCATCGCTACCGCAGGGGCAGAGCGGGAACGTAGTGGGCTGAAGTGGGCGAGTGGTCTGAGAAACCACAGTGTAGGCTTTTACAATCTGCTGCACAGCACAGTGGTTACGGGGGCCAGACCCCAGACCCCACATGGCTGACCTAGTTCCTGCAGCCCAAAAAGCCATACCGGGCCTGCGTGTGTGCCCCAAATCCAGGCAGGATGGAGAAATGGAGAAGGGATTGTGGTGTGACCATGCCCCATTGGAGGATGCTTTCTCACCAGCTTTCTGCTTTAAAAGCACAAAGAGAGGCTTTTAAAAACTGGCAGGAAGATGTGTGGCCAGTTCCGGAAGAGACTTGAAGTGGCCACTGGGAAGGACTGGCCTGAGAGTGGTTCCCTGGGGGTACGGACTATCCGCTCCTTTTCCATCCTCTACCCAATGCTTCTCAAATGCTGCTGGGACTCAGCCACCCGGACTGGCCGGGATCACTGGGCCCAGGGCGCTTGCCCAGCTCTGCACGTGGCCACTCCACTTTGCCTGCTATGGGGCTGTCTATCTTCTCCCCAGGCTCAGAGCCTTTCTCAATGGGAGGATATGGGGTACGCTCGGGCAGTGGGCCCACTGCCTGATGGTAGGGCTGCAGGCTTGTTCTGGGGAGGGCCCAGAACAGAGAGAGATGGGCTGTGGCTGTCTAGTGGAGCCCCACAGCTACAGCCAGTCGCTGAACCCACTCCGAGCCTGCCTCCGCCAC